GGAGATTATAGCTCTCAGGGAAACTGGAATAGGGAAGGGAGTTCCACAGGTGAGGGGTGCGAGACATGAAGCTATTGGAGTAGAAGAGACAGCTACATTTAGGAGTTTCAACAGTGAAAAGGTGAGAGTGGGATGCCAGCCTTGTAGGGCACTTGAACTCATGAAGTCTGGGAACCAGCGAATGCAGCTCCTCGGAGCAATTGCCATGAAAGTATTTGTAAAACAGACAGAGAGAGGCGACAGTGTGTATGTGTCTGTAGACAAGATGCCAGATCAGGGCCAATTATATTGCATATCCGCCTCTGGAGCCTATCAAGAACCCCGAGGCAAACAGAAGGGGCTCCAGACTATATATAGCAGCAATACTCCATGCAAGGGTGAATTGTTGATTTGTAGATCTGGAGGATCGATTCTGGGGAGAAAAATTTCCTGGCATGGCACAGGGAGCCAACTTTCCTTGCGGTGGATGAAGCAATTGACTCAATGTATTTGTTCCATCTCAGGTCAGCCATCAACGTGAGACTGAGCAGCCGCAGAGAGGTGCTCTCGAGCGTCAGACATTCTAATGGAGGGCAGGGAAGGATTTCTGTGGTGATTACTTGAGCAGTTTCTTCCCACACACCATTGGTTAGTGGAACTGACTCCTAAGAGGATACTCATTACAATCTTAACCTATTTAAGTCTAGGGTTAACTGTTATCTTCCCCACATACCAAAATAAACGATGCCACGTACACTGTCATTCTCTACCTCATGGGTTCTTGTATATGGTGAATAACATTGTAAAAAAATACATTTGGGATTCCTGGAAAGACTGTATTCAGCTGGTAATGGAAGATATCCTGGAATATTTCCAATCCAAATTAGATGTGCTTAAATGTGCCAAATGGTGTGTTGAAAATATAGAACAGACTTGATTTGCAATTCAATTCTTTATAAGTGAGGTAATTTAATATTTGCTATACAGAAATCATTTTGGTTACTAAACTGGAAGATTGATTTTTTTTATAGCTTATCTACTCTATTATCTATTTAAAATTTCATGGATGGTGAGATGGAGAAAAGGTAAAAATTTGGCCTGCATGAATATCAGAAAGATTTAATCAAAATGTATTCCTCCTTTCTACCATGCAACATAAATGATGCGAGGAAAAGACATGCTGAAGTTTAACAATATTTACAGAACAAAATACAACAAACTTAAGTGAATTTATTCAAAGTGGATGGGAATGCAGTTTTAAAAGATAGATATAAAGAAAGTTCTTGTTTTACTTACATGCATAAGGATTTGTCTTCAGTGGATCAAGGTTCCCAGGGTTCATACTGATAATGTTAGAAATCATGCTCAAATTTGATCTTTTGTTGTTTTGAGCATGATTACTTTGTGAGTTGTATGAAATTTTTGTTTGACTTTGTATTCTATGTCATATTTCTATGGTGTGGTAATTTGTATGCATTCTTCAATTGTCTGCAGGATGATCTCTTGGTCTGATCGCAAAGATAGCAAAACATCATGCATTTATCTGTATATGTCTATGTCTCTCTCTGTTTTTATACTGCCGGGTTATGTTCCTTAAATAACCATGGGTAGGCTCCCAGACAGGATTTTGGATTTAAGGGGGAAGAAGAAAGTTAGAAATTTGACCTGTATAAATATCAGAAGTATTTTGAACAAAATGTATTCTTTCTTTCCGCCATCCAACATAAATGATGTGAGGAATGACATGCTGAAGTTAATAACATTTATTTATAGAAAGGAAATGCAACAAGAAACTTAAGTGAATTTATTCACAGGGGATGTTAAGAGATAGATATATATATAGAGAGAGATAGAGAGATCTTGTTTTACTTACCTGTATGATGATTTGTCTTCAGTTGGCTGAGATTTTAGGGTTCATACTGATGGTGTTAGAAATCATGCTTGGATTTAATCTTTGTTTGCTTTGAGTGTGTTTAGTTTCTGAGTTGTATGAAATTGTTTAATTTTGTATTCCATGTCATATTTCTATGGTGTGGTAATTTCTTATACAGGGTGTTTCAAAAAGAATACACCAAAATCATTACGCTGTTTTTTCAGGTCTATAGCATTGTAGTGGACTGAATCAGTGGTTATTTGATAGAGTAGTTATCAAAGTTTGATTGGGTGTCAGTTTCACTGCTGTCGTTAGTATAACTTCCAGTGCAGCTGAATTGTGGGAAGATCAATCAAAATGGCGACTCCTCAGCAGAAGGTGTTTTGCATGCTTGAGTACAGAGCACCCACATGAAACTGTTGAACATGAAAGAGATTCCCCTAAAGTGAACATCTTCTGTGCTGTGTCTCAAGACAAGGTCTATGGTCCCTTTTTCTTTGAAGGAAACCGTTACAGGACAAACCTATCTCGAAATGCTCCAAAACTGGCTATTCACTTTACTGCAAGCAGATTCAAATGACTTTATTTTTCAGCAAGATGGAGCACCACCCCATTGGCATCTCGGGGTTAGAGCTTATCTGAATGAAAACGTGCCTCAGCAATGGGTTGGGAGGAGAGGTGCTAAAAACCTTGCTCTCTGTGCTTGGCCTGCCAAATCCCTGGACCTCACTGTGTGTGACTTTTTCTTGTGGGGGTATGTTAAAGACCAAGTTTATGTTCCAGCACTTCCAGCAAGTATCGATGACTTGAAAAATCGAATAACAGCTGCAATCAACATGGTGGACCGTGACATGCTGAGGCGCGTTTGGGAGGAATTCTCATATCGGCTTGATATTGTCCGCGCTGCCAGTGGTGGACACACTGAGCACTTATAAAACATGAAATAAAACTTGAATGTATATACAACACATGTGTTTATGCTAGAGGTTTGTAATTTTTTTCATTTTTGACACATCACGTGATGATTTTGGCGTATTCTTTTTGAAACACCCTGTATATTCTTCAATTATCTATGATATGATCTCTCAGTCTGATTGTAACGAAACTGAAAGGCAGCAGTCTGTGGGTTCTGCTAAACTGACTACAGTTTGCCGTTCTAAGAGGCAACGAGTGGCATGCGTGTTATGTAATCAAAATGCTGGGTGGAGTTCATATAGTTCAGTGGTGCTATTTTCTCAAGGACACAGCCGTGTGCTTGTGCCACGATCAGAATAGAAGAATCAGACTTCAGTGCTGAGTTCAATGAGCAAACCATGGTTTGGACAGCGGCGTGGAAGTGGTCAAACAATCAGCAATGGCTTACAAATAAGGTGCCAGAGTATCCCATGTCCACTCAAATTTGAAAAGAGTACCATCGTGAGCTGGAAACGTGGCTGAGCAACAGATGGCTGCTTTCCTATCCCGAGGAGGAACTTGGTCGCCCAAAAGGCCTGATTCCATTGATGGCCATTTTTCAACAGAATAAGTCTAAGGTGTGACCGGTGGTGGACTTTCATGAGTTGAACGAATACGTTGACGCCTACACGGCAAAAGCCGACATCTGTGCACAAGAGTTGAGAGAGTGGAGAAAGAAAGGCTCCAATGTGTCATTGCTGGATCTCCAAAGGGCCTATTTACAAGTCACGTCAAGGGACTCCTTCGTTCGTCTACCAGGATGGAAACCCTAACTTTGGGAGAGCTACTTGAACCGTATTGGTTGATACCAGGGACAAACATTTAGCCACTGCAGGGCAACCGAAGCAGGCCTCACCTGCACCAACCCTTCGCGAAACTAGCCAGAGTGATATCAGCTGTTTCAGGTGCAGGGACCTGAACCATCTGGCTAGAGATTGTATGCAACGCGTTTTGCCTGCAGAGTGCCAGAAGTTAACAATAAAAGTACAAGCGTCCTTGTGGGGTGTTATTTATGAGTCACGAATGTGTAATGTATGCAAATTTCAGCCAGTTAGAACTGATATAAAATGAGCAATCTCACAGGTCGGGGGGGGTCTTTTCTTTTTCTTTTGTTCTTGAGTTGGTCGTACAGTTCGGGTGTGCATATCGTCGGAGATATAGGAATCTATCTTCCTTCCTATACTTGGGACGGCAGTGTCAAACTTAAGTCCTTCTACCATTCCTTAAATAACCATCAGAATTTGGGATTTAAGTGGAAAGGTATGGACCATTGTGTCTGTTGCTATGCAGATATTGTATAAGCATTTGTGTGCATAACAACAAAAGTGGAAACATATTTTGGATTTTAGAAGGTTTAAAGTACCTGATATTCCCAAGCCGTCTCTCATCTAAGAGATCACTTGAGACTAGGTCAACACTGCTTAACTTCAGGTGTGTATATTGAACATCTGCAAATTAGTCTCACCTGTGATTCAAATCCCAACCAGATGCTCCATTTTAATAACATTGTGCTAAGAAAGGTCCATCATCTAAAGTGCCGTAGGTGATACAATCATTGGAGAATAGTTTGAATCAGAGAAATCTACGAAACTGTGACTTACCACAGTCTTATGTTTGTTTGAACCATTGTACTAAGCCCAAGGAGAGCATTATTTTCTATAATATCTTATTGTAAGAGGTCCAGTTCCTTTCTTTGAGATGACATGCAAGGTGGATTTGTTTTTGAAGTTACTTTCTTCTAGATCTTAAGAAGCAGGCAGTTTGAATTCAGAGCTTTCATTCTCTTAGATTTGTTGACAACCAAGTCTGTAGGGCTCAGTCTGTCCTAATATTTATCCATAGCTGGGGGGGAGAAGGGATGGATTTATACCATTTCCAAGGGCATTAGCATGTAAGTGAATACAATGAATTTCACTGGAATTAGAACTCAGCTCTCCAATTCCTCAATCTGAGCCACTATTCATTATTCCACCATGACTCATTTAGATTCTTACAAGAATGAAAAAAAGAACTTATTTTCATTTAAATATTTTAAATATCTAAAATTGAATAAATAAATAAATTCAATTTCTTCCTCCTAATCTTCCTTCTCTCTTTCTTTCTACATTTTTCTCCCTTTCTTGCAAACCAACTTTTATCTTTTTTCTTTTTTCTTTCCTTTCAAACATTCTTTAATTTATCGTTTCCATTTTAGCTTCATTTCAAACAGCCTTTCACTTTTATTTTCCTTCCTCCCCGTCTCCCTTTTTCCTTCTTTTCTTCCTTCCTTCTTGCTCTTCCTATCTTCTTTCCTTCATTCCTTCCAAACATATTTACACCTTTCTTTTCCTTCCTTCCTTTTTTACTTTCTTCCTTCCAAACATCCTTCCAGCATTTATCCATCCTGCCTTCAAAACATTATTTCACTTTTCTTTTCCTTCTTTCTTTATTTCTTTATTTTCTTCTTTTTAATTCTTTCCTTTTTACTTACTTCTAAACATCATTCAACCTTTCCTTCTTTCCTTACTTTTTCCTTCCTTCTAAACATCCTTCAACCTTTCTTTTCTTTCTTTCTTTTTCTTTCTTTCTTTCTTTCTTTCTTTCTTTCTTTCTTTCTTTCTTTCTTTCTAAACATCCTTTCACCTTCTTTTTTCTTCCTTCATTCTGTTTTCCTTCCTTCTAAACATCCTTCAAAATTTTTTCTTTCTTTCATTCTTTCTTTCTTTCTTTCTTTCTTTCTTTCTTTCTAAACATCCTTTCACCTTCTTTTTTCTTCCTTCATTCTGTTTTCCTTCCTTCTAAAGATCCTTCAAAATTTTTTCTTTCTTTTTTCTTTCTTTCTTTCTAAACATCCTTTCACCTTCTTTTTTCTTCCTTCATTCTGTTTTCCTTCCTTCTAAAGATCCTTCAAATTTTCTTTCTTTCTTTCTTTCTTTCTTTTTCTTTCTTATTTTCCAAACATCTTTTCACCATCCATCTAAACATCTTTCAACCTTCTTTTCCTTCCTTTTTTCTTCCTTTCCAAACAGTTTTCACCTTCCTTTAATTACTACTTTAATTAATTAAGACTTGTTTATACTTCCTTCCTTTTTATACTTCCTTCCTATTTATACTTCCTTCCTTTTTCTTCCTACTAAACATCCCTCAACCTTTTTTTGCTTCCGTCTTTCTTTCTTTCTTTCTTTCTTTCTTTCACCTTCTTTTTTCTTCCTTCATTCTGTTTTCCTTCCTTCTAAACATCCTTCAAAATTTCTTTCTTTCTTTCTTTCTTTCTTTCACCTTTTTTTCTTCCTTCATTCTGTTTTCCTTCCTTCTAAACATCCTTCAAAAATTTCTTTTTTTTCTTTTCTTTTCTTTCTTTTCACCTTCTTTTTTTCTTCCTTCATTCTGTTTTCCTTCCTTCTAAACATCCTTCAAAATTTTTTTTTTTTTTTCATTCTTTCTTTCTTTCACCTTTTTTTTTTTTCCTTCATTCAGTTTTTTCCTTACTTCTAAACATCCTTCAAAATTTCTTTTCTTTCTTTTCTTTCTTTCTTTCACCTTCTTTTTTCTTCCTTCATTCTGTTTTCCTTCCTTCTAAACATCCTTCAAAATTTCTTTCTTTCTTTCTTTCTCCTTTCTTTTTTTTCTTCCTTCATTCTGTTTTCCTTCCTTCATCCTAAAATTTCATTTCCTTTCAAAATTTCACCTTTCTTTTTTTTTCTTTTCATTTGTTTTCATCCTTCTTTTTTTCCTTCTTTTTTTCTTTCCTTCCTTCATTCTGTTTCCTTCCTTCTAAACATCCTTCAAAATTTCTTTTTTTCTTTCTTTTTTTCTTTCTTTTCACCTTCTTTTTTTTTCTTCATTCTGTTTTCCTTCCTTCTAAAAACATCCTTCAAAATTTCTTTCTTTCTTTTCTTTTTTTTTCACCTTCTTTTTTTTCTTCCTTCATTCTGTTTTCCTTCCTTCTAAACATCCTTCAAAATTTCTTTCTTTTCTTTTCTTTTCTTTTTTCTTTCTTTCACCTTCTTTTTTTCTTTCCTTCATTCTGTTTCCTTCCTTCTAAACATCCTTCAAAATTTCTTTTCTTTCTTTCTTTCTTTCTTTCACCTTCTTTTTTCTTCCTTCATTCTGTTTTCCTTCCTTCTAAACATCCTTCAAAATTTCTTTCTTTTTCTTTCTTTCTTTCACCTTCTTTTTTCTTCCTTCATTCTGTTTTCCTTCCTTCTAAACATCCTTCAAAATTTCTTTCTTTCTTATTTTTCAAACATCTTTTCACCATCCTTCTAAACATCTTTCAACCTTCTTTTTTCTTCCTTTCCAAACAGTTTTCACATTCCTTTTTCTTCCTTCCTTTTTCTTCCTACTAAACATCCCTCAACCTTTTTTTTGCTTCTTTCTTTCTTTATTTATTTCTTTCTTTCTTATTTTCCAAAGATCCTTTCACCTTCCTTTTTCTTCTAAACATCCTTCCGTCTTCTTTTCCTTCCTTCTTTCTTTATTTCTGTCTGTCTTTCCGTTGAAACATCCTACAACCTTTCTTTTGTTTCCTTTCTTCCTTCCTTTCAAACATTCTTTCACCTTTCTTCTTTACTCCCTTCCTTCCTTTTAAAAATCCTTCAACCTTTCTTTTGCTTCCTTTCTTCCTTCTTCCTTTCTTTCTATTTTTCTCATTTTCTTTCTTTTTAAACATTCTTTCACCTTCCTTCCTTACTTTCTTCCTTCCTTCTAAACATCCTTCTACCTTTCTTTTGCTTCTTTCTTTCTTTCTTTCTTTCTTTCTTTCTTTCTTTCCAGGGATGCTTTCACCTTCCTTTTCCTTCCTTCTTTTTTTTTCTTCCTTCCAAATATCCTGCCATCTTTCATTCTATCCTTTTATTTTGTCCTAATTTTTTTTATCCCTTTCTTTCTTTGATTTTTAGCTGATCTTTTTTCTTATAATCAATCTTTATTTTCTTTCATGCTCTTTACGCAGATTTTTTAATTCTATTTTTTCACATTACCATTTCTCTGACGCAATGCATGGCAAAAAGGCCATGCAGTTCAGGAGAAAAAGTTTCATAAAATTTTTCTTGGCTTTGCAGATTTTTGCAGAATTTTTAGCTTCAGACTTCAGACATCATCTGCCAATAGTAATTGATTTCACCATTAGTTTTCTGCTTTCTTATTTACCTATTCTCTGTTTGTACATATCTTTATCAAAGATTTAAGACTTTGTTTTCCTTTTATTGCTTCTTTGGCAATTCTTCATCATTGACGTTCTTCTTTCTCTCTCTTTCCAATATGGCTTACAGTCACATCACATTGAAATATTGGTTCCTGTAAAGTCACAAAAGTTAAGGAACATTGAGACTGGTTAGTACCTAGATGGGTAGCCATGAATCTGCCTCTTCTCTCCCTAGCTATGGGTTAATTAGCAAGATTTGTACCATTATTATCTCCAAAACAATTCAAAATTTTTGTTATCAGTTAATTTTTTTATATTATATTTCATTGACTATAACCTGTCAGTCATATTATTTAAAATTTTATATTCTTCCCTTAGATAAAAAATAAATTTATTTTTCAATATTTAAAATTTCGTCATTTATACTTTAGTTAATTAAGACTTGTTTATACTTTTTATTTTAGTTAATTTTACTTTTTAAACTGTTGAGAGATCCCCTTCATGTTAGAAGCTCAACATCTGCATGGTAAAATAAGGAATAATAATCATGTTTTGAAGAACTGCACATATTTTGAAGTAAAGTCATTAAAATGTTAAAATATAAAATAACATGCTACATGTTTTTTGAAGATGAATACCCTACATGTTAAAATGGAAAGTAGCATGCTACATGTTTTTGAAGAAGGATACTCTACATGTCAATGTATGATTTTGAAGATGAATACTCTACATGTCAATATGGAAAATAACATGCTACATGATTTTGAAGATGAATACACTAGATGTCAATATGGAAAATAATATGCTGCATGTTTTTTAAACAAACATCTACATGTTAAATTTCCTAAAGAGGAAAGATTTTTTATTTATTAATCAGATTTTTACGACTTTAAATGTTATTTTTAGTGAATACTCATAGTTGAGGAGACATTACATTTATTTTTAAACAGTATATTTATTTCGGTAGATGAAAATAAATATGCTGTTTAATATGTTTTAAAATAGAAAATAATATTCTCATTTTGTCAGAGGTATAATGAGAGTTTATTATGTCAACATATTGATTATGACATTATTTCCTCTTCAAGTTACATGTGCTATCCATTTTAATTGTTGCTGCTGTTGGTAGTCCTCAAGTGATGTGGTTTCTGTTATTTGGTACATTTCTTTATTTAAAGTAGTTAGAAACATTAATATCTTGATTATGTCATTATTTTTCAGTTACATTTGTCGTTATTTTTTCCTTTTCAGTTACATCCATTTTAGTTGTTGCTGCTGTTCGTAGTCCTCAAGTGATGTGGTTTCACTTATTTGGTACAGTTCTTTATTTGAAGTAGTGCAGAACATTAATATCTTGATTATGTCATTATTTTCTCTTTCAGTTACATGTGCTATCCATTTTAATTGTTGCTGCTGTTGGTAGTCCTCAAGTGATGTGGTTTCTCTTATTTGGTACAGTTCTTTATTTGAAGTAGTGTAGAACATTAATATCTTGATTATGTCATTATTTTCTTTTATTTGAAGTAGTGCAGAACATTAATATCTTGATTATGTCATTTTTTCTCTTTTAAGTGCTATTTTTAATTGTTGATGCTGTTGGTAGTCCTCAAGTGATGTGGTTTCTGTTATTTGGTACAGTTCTTTTTTTGAAGTATCCATTTTAATTATCTTGATTATCCCTCATTATTTTCTCTTTATTTGAAGTAGTGCAGAACATTAATATCTTGATTATGTCATTATTTTCTTTTATTTGAAGTAGTGCAGAACATTAATATCTTGATTATGTCATTATTTTCTTTTTATTTGTTACATGTTGCTATCCATTTTTTCTTGTTGCTGCTGTTGGTAGTCCTCAAGTGATGATGGTTTCTGTTATTTGGTACATTTCTTTATTTGAAGTAGTGCAGAACATTAATATCTTGATTATGTCATTATTTTCTCTTTTTCAGTTACATTTGCTATCCATTTTAATTGTTGCTGCTGTTGGTAGTCCTCAAGTGATGTGGTTTCTGTTATTTGGTACAGTTCTTTATTTGAAGTGCATTAATATCTTGATTATGTCATTATTTTCTCTTTTTTCAGTTACATGTGCCATTTTAATTGTTGCTGCTGTTGGTAGTCCTCAAGATGTGGTTTCTGTTAATTGGTACAGATTCTTTATTTTCTTTTCAGTTATTTGAAGTTGCTGCAGAACATTAATATCTTGATTATGTCATTATTTTCTCTTTCAGTTACATTTGCTATCCATTTTAATTGTTGCTGCTGTTGGTAGTCCTCAAGTGATGTGGTTTCTGTTATTTGGTACATTTTCTTTATTTGAAGTAGTGCAGAACATTAATATCTTGATTATGTCATTATTTTCTTTCAGTTACATTTGCTATCCATTTTAATTGTTGCTGCTGTTGTTGGTAGTCCTCAAGTGAGTCCTTCTGTTATTTGGTACAGTTCTTTATTTGAAGTGTGGTTTTTTTCTTTCAGTTACTTTGCTCCATTTTTTGGTCCTCACATTTTTTATTTGAAGTAGAAGTAGTGCAGAACATTAATATCTTGATTATGTCATTATTTTCTCTTTCAGTTACAAGTGCTATCCATTTTAATTGTTGCTGCTGTTGGTAGTCCTCAAGTGATGTGGTTTCTGTTATTTGGTACAGTTCTTTATTTGAAGTAGTGCAGAACATTAATATCTTGATTATGTCATTATTTTCTTTTCAGTTACATTTGCTATCCATTTTAATTGTTGCTGCTGTTGGTAGTCCCTCAAGTGATGTGGTTTCTCTTATTGATTTTCTTTATTTGAAGTGCTTAATATCTTGATTATGTCATTATTTTCTCTTCAGTTACATTTGCTATCCATTTTAATTGTTGCTGCTGTTGGTAGTCCTCAAGTGATGTGGTTTCTGTTATTTGTTCTTTATTTGAAGTAGTGCATTTAATATCTTGATTATGTCATTATTTTTCTTTTTCAGTTACATTTGCTATCCATTTTAATTGTTGCTGTGTTGGTAGTCCTCAGAATGTGGTTTCTGTTATTTGGTATTCTTTATTTGATTGCAGAACATTAATATCTTGATTATTATTTTTTCTCTTTCAGTTACATGTGCTATCCATTTTAATTGTTGCTGCTGTTGGTAGTCCTCAAGTGATGTGGTTTCTCTTATTTGGTACAGTTCTTTATTTGAAGTAGTGCAGAACATTAATATCTTGATTATGTCATTATTTTTACATTTGTGCTATCCATTTTAATTGTTGCTGCTGTTGGTAGTCCTCAAGTGATGTGGTTTCTGTTATTTGGTACAGTTCTTTATTTGAAGTAGTGCAGAACATTAATATCTTGATTATGTCATTATTTTTTCTTTCAGTTACATGTGCTATCCATTTTAATTGTTGCTGCTGTTGGTAGTCCTCAAGTGATGTGGTTTCTGTTAATTGGTACAGTTCTTTATTTGAAGTAGTGCAGAACATTAATATCTTGATTATGTCATTATTTTCTCTTTCAGTTACATTTGCTATCCATTT